AGTAATAATACTATAACTAAAAATTATAATTAACTTGATAATTAAGAGATAAACTTTTTAAAAAAAATGCCACTAACTATTTAAATATAATGAATTTATCATTTAACTAATTAGTATCTGCTATATTGCAGCAGATTATGAGAATAGAATTGTTAGATCCCAAATGCGTTAATGTCTAAAATACATATTTAGGATATCTTAAATTAGAATATACAATTGGAATATCCTAAATATGAAGATCATTTAAGATATTCACTTGCTCCAAATGTGTATTTATTTTAAATGCACATTTCAGATATTCCAAATGCATTTTTTGGATATCTCAAATATGCATTTTAGGTATATCTTAAATGTATATTTCAGTATCCAAATGTTAATAAAAGTTTGTTTACATTTTTATTTTATAATTTAAATAAAAATAAAGTTTTATAAATATAAATATTAAATATAAATAAAATATAAATTACAAATCTGTCATTTAATAAAATCAAATCATTAGTAATCATTTAGGACAATCTTAAATGAGTTTGAATTGGTCTTTTGGTATATTCTAAATGATCATTTGTGATATCTGAAATGCATATTTAGGATATTATCTGAAATGAGTATTTAGGACATTATCTGATATGCGTATTTGGGATATTCAAAATGATTATTTGAGACATTATCTAAAATGAACATTTGAAACATATTTTGAAATATGCATTTGAGATATCTGAAATGAGCATTTGAGATATTGTCTGAAATACGTACTTGGGATATCTGAAATATGCATTTAAGACATACCCAAAATGTTAATTTGGGATATGTCTGAAATATGCATTTTGGATATTTGAAATGCATATTTGGGATCAATTCGCATTTGGAATAGACTAATATTCTAAATGATCTTTATATTTAGAATATTTTAATTACACATTCTGATTTGAGATATCCTAAATATGTATTTCAGATATCAATGCATTTGGGATACAACAGAATCATTAGTAATTGAATTATATAATAAAGTATTTAAAGCTTTTTTTTTATTTATTAAATTATAATATACTGTATAAAGTATTTATTTAATAGATAAGAGATAAAATGTATTTTTATATTTAATAAACTAATTAATTTATATTTACATGCATATTTTTCTTGTCAAAAATACATCTTTCATATATTAATACATAATCATTAATTTCTAAATCATGCAAAACTGAAAAGATTTGTTTTTTATAGAATTTATAATAAAAATTTTAACTTTAAGAAATCTTGTAACCAACCCCCTTGGATTATATCTGGCATAATATGGTTACTGATGATGATATTTTTTATTTTATTAGAAAAAACTTGGAAATAATCGTATATATATTTTTTGCATTTTTTTTGTATTTTTTTGATAATAAAAAAAATTAACAATTGAAAAAGGTTATGAAAAATTTTAACAATAATTATAATAAGAGAAATTCAATTATATTATTAAAAAATGAGATGATTTACAATATATAATATTGAAACAAATTTTGATTAATAATTATTTGCACTAACTAATTTTAGTTATCATGTAATAAATAAATTTATCATAATGATCTGATCATTACCATACCAAAATAGTAAAATTATTTTAGTATAATTAGGGTATTTTCAAGTACCTAACTTAATAAATCAGAAATTAAGATTTTAATTAGTCAGAGATTAATTTTGTAAATCAAATAAGTTACCATTTTGATAAATAAAATATGCAGACTAAAACCATCTTTTTTTTTATAGAGCTATGTTGATTGGCTAAAATTTATCATTGATAGAAAAAATAAGAGATTGTTTAAGCATTTTTCTTCATTTGAGTAGGTTGAGTAGTAGCTTTATTATTCTTTTTATTAATTTTGTTCATTATAAATTTTGAATGAAAAGAAGCTACTCAAGTATTAATTGCACAATTCTTATTTAAATTGATTATGATATATAAGCACTATCTTAGTTCTTAGTCAATTACATTGAGGAGTTACTTGAGAATACTCTTGTTTAAATTTTTTTAGAAGAATAAAAAAGAGAAAAACTTACTTTTTTATAAGTTCTAAACCCCTGGATTGAAATTATATCAGAAAAAAGTTTTTTTTTTTAATGAAAAAATTTTGTTAATTATAAAAATAAGAAAAAAAAAACTAATATTTAATTTACCTTTATAGACTAATCTGAAATTCTTCATCTTAAAATTAAAGGTAAAATTCTATTAGAGAGTGAATGAATGTATAGATGTATTAAAATTCTTTTTAAAAGAATAAAAAAGAGAATATTTACCTTTTTGTAGATTCTAAAATTTTTTATCTTAGAATCAGAGGTGAGTTCCTAATAAAGAAAATATGGATGAATTTGTTAAAATTTTTTTAGAAGAATAAAAAGAGAAAACTTACTTTTTTATAAGTTCTGAATTTTTTGAATTGAAATCAGATTGAAGGTAAGATTTTTTAATGGAGAATTTTTGTTAATTATAAAAATAAAGAAAAAATAAAATAAAATTTACTTTTGTAGACTAATCTAGCTTTGATCTCTATAATAGCCTCTTTGGGTTTTCATTTTTTTTATTATTAGAAATATATTAATATTTCTTTTTCTTTTTTTTTAAGAAACACCTTCCTGGATTTAGTTTTTAGTTTAGAATATGAAAAGATAAGATGGGAATTTTTTTTTTGTTATTGAAATATCATAATATTTCTTTTCTTTTTTTCTTTAGAGAATGCTTTTCTGGATTTAAATTTTAATTTAGATATAAAAGATAAATTAGGAGAAATGGATTTTTCTTTTTTTTTATTATTAAAAATGTCATTAATATTCTTATTCTTTTTTCTTTAAGGAATGCCTTTTTGAATCTAAATAAAAAATATTTAAATAATATAATTTATTATTTGGTTTTTTTTTGTTTCTTTATAAAAAGTTTTTTAAATGTTTTAATTAAAAATATTATTGCATTTTTTATCATAAAATATTTAATATTTAATTTAATAAAAATAATTTTATTTTAAATAATATTATATAATTTATTTTTTTTTATTTACTAATTTTTTTAGTTTATTAATAGATAATATACATCCTGTTTTAATGGATTTTGAATATATTGACATATTTTTTCATAAAAATATCATTACCATTCTAATATTAATTCTTTAACTATTTTTTCTTTAAGAAATAATGGAAGATTTACATTATATCTTTTTTTATCAAATTTATCATTTAAGATCCTTTATTTATTACTATTTTTACCTTTATTATATTTATTTTATCCTGACTTAATATAAAATGATATTGCTTTTTAATTTGTAAAATAGTATTAAAATAATTAATTAAAAATTCAGTTTAGTTATAAAAAAACTCTTTGTTGTACATTATTATTAAAAATAGATTATGTTACATTGTACTTAGTAGTTAATTCATTAACTACTTGAATTAAATCCTCCATATCATCTACTTCTGAATATCATAACTTTAATTTAAATAAACTAAAAATTCTATTAAACGTAAATTTGGTATGTCTTACTATCATAAATGAGTATATGATTTTATCATACAAATTATTAGCAATATATTATACTAGATACATAATCATTAAATTATTCTTATTCTGTTCTAAACATTATCTGCATGAATTATTACCTTTTTTTCACCTAATCCATGCTTTTCAAAATAATAATGAACTAATGAAATTGTTGTATTAGCATCTTTTCCAAAATTTTCTTCTTCTGAAATCAAATAATTTACCTAATATAAAAAATAAATTAACATAAAATTAAAAAATAAACTATATTAAAATAATAAATTGTTTATTTGTCTTGGAATTCTACTTTTACAAATACCAAAAATTTGCACTTTATAAAGACTTTTAAAATAAATTACTTCCTATTTAAATAATAAACCTAATTAACTTTATAAAATAAAAAATTATATATTTAATTTAATTAATACCTCTTGTTATAAAAAATATGGGATTTTAACAACTTTTACAAAATCAGGATATGTGATTTTTAAAATCTTGATAATTAGATATATTTGATTATAAAGTATTTTAAATTCTTTTAATGCTTTTTTAGAATTTGTCACACAATTTCTATATAAAGATAAAAAATTTAGTAACTAAATAAGTAAAATAAAGATTTTAAATAAAATTTATCTAAAATTCTCTCTTTCTAAATAAGTCTAAAGAATATGTTATTCCATTCTTCTATTTTTTGTTTTATTTTGATGCTGATCACATTTGAAAATTAAATTGCATTAATTTACACTTATAACATAAGTTACTGCAAGGTATTAAAAATTTTATACCTGATATATTTTTGTCATACTCAACAAAATATTCAAATACTTATAATTAAAGATTTATTATCATCAATATTATTTTCTATTGTATCATTATATAATCTCCAAAATGATGAATAACTTTTACTTACTAGTAAATATGTAATTGCAATTGTTTTTTCTCAAAAACAATGACCTATTTAAGAAATATTAATAAATTTTATTAATCAAATAAAGAATTATTTTACTAATAACTAAAAATTATTAAAAATTTAATAAAAAAATACCTGGTGATAGAAGTCCATAAATATTTGCATAATTACTTATAAATGTTAAAATTTGTAAAAAGTTTCAAAAGGTACTGGTATTATTACTTTTTCTACCAGTCAAACCATATATAATTAGACTAATATTATAATCAATATAATATTTACATATTGTTTTCCATTTTTTTTTACCAACATTATAAATTATTAAAAAAACTACTATATATATTTTGATTCTTTCAAAATAATAATTACTAATTAAATATACTTTATCCTTATTTTTTTCTGTTTTATTTATATGAATATTTACACTAAGAATCCCTAATAAAAATATATTTTGTTGATTTTTATTTAATTTTTAAAATAATTGAAATTTTTTAGTTGCAATTTTATAATTAATAATATTATTAATTAAGCATTCTTTTGAACAATAATGAATGATTATTAGTTTTTTTTTGAAATACTTTATTTCATTAATTTATCATTAAATTCTTCAGATACTTCACTTTCTTCATAATGTAATGGATCTTTATTCCAAATATTATGAAATTCCTTAATTTGAAAATTAGTAAAAATTGAATAAAATGTATCATCATCTATAAGAAATATAAATTCTTCATAATTTTCAGAAATAGTATTATTATTATAATCAATATTAAATTTATATTCATGTTGTAATGATCCTAAAGTATTATTTAATTTATGAAATTTTATATAAGTATTAATAAAAAGATTTTAGTTTTAAGATATTTTTTTTTTTAAAATATTAAATAAATTGTTAAAAAAAAAAATACTTTGATCTGAGCATAAATAAAATTGATAAAATTTTAAAAGAAACTATTTTTATTTAATAAAATGCTTAAATTTATAAATAATAAATATAAATAAAAAATTAAAATAAATTTATAGATAGATAAAAGGTATTCTTATTTTCATTTTTATTTATATTATTTAAAATTATCAAAAAAAAAATATATTCTATTTTTATAATAACTAGTTAAAAAAAAGAATATTATACTAAACTTCATTTATTTTTTTTTTATTAATAAATTTAAATTATTAGAGAAAGTTAAAATGAAGAAAATCTGGTAATTAAATTTATTATTTGATACTGATCCATTTAAATTATGCATAAGTTGTATAATCTGAATATATCAATATATTATAAAATAATAATAGAAGAATGTAATATAATTAATATTATTAATTTATTTTAAAATAGTTTATTTATATTACAAACATTTGTAAAAATAATTAAAGTACTTTAAAATAAAGGATTGACATGTTATACATGTAGCTTAATCAAGTGAATAATTAAGAATCAATTTTTATGAATGAACTTACCATAGTTAGTTTAAGTTTCTAGTCATTTAGCTTTATCAGTTCATTCTGGTTTCTAAATAAAAAGAGTAGGAAATATTAATTAAGTTTCTTTAGGTAAATAAAAAAAAATACAAATTTACCAGTTTGTTCATTTAGGGATCATTCATCAGTTCTGTTTTTAAAAAAAATAAAAGGGAATATTAAAATTCTGTTTTTCAAAAATAAAAAGAAAAAATGCTTACTAAAAGAAAAGAAGGGAATTTAAATGGCTTTATATTTGAGAATTTATATGAATTAATTAGTAAAAATATTAATTTTTTAAATTTATATATCTAAGATATAATTTGTACTAGATGGTGTAACAGGTAAAATTTTAGATAGATTTAATTGGTAGAATATGAAGTCAACTTTATTACCATATAAATCTTTTATGAAGATCATTTTGTCTATTTTATTACCATCAATCAATTATGCAAATCCTTAAATATTAATTTTATTGCCTTTGATAATCATATAGAATAAAGATGTTCATTTAGTTGCTGCAGATCTGGCAATTTTATTGATACAACAACTTTATTGCCTAGTGAAATAGCAACTTTATTTCTTTTGATATATTTAGTTTAGTTTATTTTATTATTTATTCAATATGTATAAATATCTCTATATTTTTTTTGAGTCTTAGTACTAATGAGATATTAATCTTTTAGGTACTAAACTTAT